GTCCCCATCGTCGGCTCGTCATTCTTCACGGCTGGCGCTGTGATGTTGTACATTTCGTTTCTGAACTACCTCGCGGAGTCGTATCCGGATCACATGGCCTCCGTTCTTGCCGGGCACGAGCTGTTCACTAGCATGTGGGGGGCGACTTTCCCCCTGCTCATCCCAACAATGCACCACAGGTTTGGCGTCCTCGGATCGAGCATGATCTTGTCCATAATCGCCATGGCATTCGTGCCGGTTCCCTATATACTCGCCATGGTGAGAACCCCTTCGAGCATCACGTACCTGGATCGAGCTAACTCTGCAGCAGTGGGGCCCCAAGCTCAGGAAAAATAGCAGTTACGCAGCGAAGGGACTGTAATTCATGAAGACATTTCGATAGGGGGGAGGTGCGAGATGAAGAAGACATGATGAGAGCGCCTTGCTATGTGATGTTTGAAATAAAACTCGGCCGAGCTACTATGCGATGTGTTTCGTTTGAATATGCTGAGAGACCAAAGCTCAACCCTACACCTGGGTGCATGCTCGAGAATGTCTAGACAGCCGACCAGCTTCCCAAACATGAGCGACTTTCTGTCATTATCCGTCACTCGGTGCTCCTCGCGGCTACTCAGGACCTCACTCATATCTCGTCGACTTCGCGCAGGTGGACGTCAACAAGGCGAAGCAGGCCATACACAAGTGTTGTTGACAAACTCAGGCGGTGGAAGCAAGACCACTCTCATTATTGCCCGAGACTCTTGCGTTGGTTGGCCTTGCGTGAAGTGTTGCCGTGGACGCCACCTTGCTCTGGTTCATGCTGAATAGAGTCGTACGGGGTGGTGGTGAGTAACAACTTACCCGACCGACCGCTGGCCGCGCATCTTTATACGGTGTGGTGCGTCGGGAAAGTTGACTATTTGCTGCTAACGCGGCCGATCCGTGCGAGCTACTGAGAAATGGTATAGCTTCTGCGACGGAGTGAAATATGGTAAGAGAATGAGATGCCCCCTTTCCATCCCACAGGGGCGAAAAGGTTGACGGCCAGATGCGATAATGTGGTGACGTGAGGTCGACTGTGTGATGGCAGACATCTCGTTCCCGGGAGTCTGCTGGTTGCGCTTGGAAGCTTGCGACTTGCAATGGGGCCACAGGGTGAGGTGTACCTAAATGTCTTCCTCGTCTTGGTAGCTGTCGCCTTCTCCGCAATACGAGGAAATAGAGTCAGCTGGGGAGACAATGCCGGCTTCTTCACTGATCTCGAAGGAGTTGGGTACAGGAAATGCTGGGTATCGGAACTCACAGTAGATCCAGATGGCAGGCTATCACGTGGAGTGGCTTCGGTGTTCGATACCTTAGAAAGCCTGGCGTCTGAGTCGAGATGGTCAAATGTGACGAGTTTTGACGGGCGCGAGTGGTGGAAGAGGCGGTTGAGCCTTTGGAGAAGAGGAGCTCTCACGGAGAAGGACAGCGCTTCGTGTACGGCGGATTCTGCAATTTACATCAACGTCAGACGATTCGCCGCCGATATCCACTTGTTTTCGGCACTTGCCTGTGTGGCCAGAGAAGAGGCAGGATTGGGAGTTGACTGTGTCCGCACACCATGTCTCAAGACCAGCGCCTATAATCACAAGACCTTTCACAGTACCCTCAAGTGCGTTCAGTATCTTTACACCCGCATCACCAGTCTGACTAGCTAGGCCTCTAACCAATTCTGATTAATGCCTCTGTCCAGGTGGTACTGAACAATGCTCTCAACCGGTTCGGGAAAGTGTAATAGTAAGGACTCCATTTAGCTGTGTGTGTTCATGTGTGCATTCAAAGTTACACGCCAATTGATTCCCCATGTTCCAGAAACAACATCAATGCCGCAACGAGCAAGCAATTCCGAAAACGAGTCCAATCTGGGCCCTCTGAGCCTGTATGTATTCTCGATCCATCCCCGATGCTTCTCGTCATACCTGCATGAGCAGATCCCCCTCAACTGTAGGCCTGAGCCCGGTTCTGGCTGACTGTGGTTGGCGGATGGTGAATTCGCAAGACAAAAAGACTTATACGTCGAAGGATGTAATTAGCGTGGAAAAAGAGCTGATTTCCAGAAGTCAATTCTGTCCAGGGGCCGTGTTGTGACTGCTGTTGCTTGGGTGCTGGTGCTGACACCAGGCATTGAAATCGCAGAGGTATCGTAAGAAGCATAAGAAAAAAAGAAAAAAAAGAAGCCAGGAGAAACCAAAGTGAAAAAGGAAGTTGGGGTTGAGCAGCAGCAGCTTTTGGCTCTGTGCTTTGCTCCAATTAGTCGTCGTTGAGCACAAGGGAGTCGTCTGGATGACGGGGAATGAGTACGTCTGGGATGCCTTCCCATGACAAGAGCCCGTCTTCTCCGATTTGGAGGTGGTGTATGGGGACCTCTGAGCGAATAGCCAAACCCAAGCGGACTCTCATTCTTTCGACATAGTGCTTGACCACACCGGTGCCGGTCATTAGCTCAAAGAAAAGGCCGTCTTGGTGATGGCGACCCTCCCAGCAGATGAGCCCATCTTCGCCGATTTCGAGGCGATCAGTCGGGATGGAGAGAGTGACTGCCTGTATCAACCAGTAATTCTGAGTGGTTCTAAGCCGTAGCATTTCATTCGGATGGATGAGCTCCTCAAACGCCAGGCGGGTGTATCTCAAAAGGATGCGTTGTATGTTTGGGCGTAAAAAGCCGAAAGGTATGGATGTCCTTCTGACTCTAGTGGCCGGGTTGTTTGTGTCGTTCACCACTTCATTCTGAGCCTCTTCGCGCGAACCTTGGTCATCTGATGGGGACGCCACGGTTCCGTCTACACTGGGCTGGTCCATGCTGATATGGAGCGGCCTGCCCATGTCGCGTTGAAATGTGTTCAAATCGAGAGGTTCAGTGTCTTGGAAGAGATTAGTAGAAGTAACGATGATTTGAGAGCGTCCATAAGGGTCCCAAATTGTCTCTTGCCAAACGAAAGGGCCACTTACGGTAGAAAGAAGGCGCGGGTGAAGATTGCGTCGTGTAGAGGGATTAAGCAAGAGCTGAGGCCCAGCGGGTGAGGTAGGTGGGAGGTAAATTTCAGAGTGGGAAAGAAGAAAGTGAGTTTGATGGAGACGTTGGGAGGAAGTGATGAAATTCCAGGAAAACAGCATTTGTGTGAGATGAGGAAGGAGCCACTCCTTCCACGACAGAAAATGGTATCATTGCAAGGCCGCTTCTCCGAACCCGAAACTGACAGCCTTTGGTTTTATGAAGCCGTGGCATCCCGAATATAAGTTTATCCAATCCATAGAGGAAACCAGCGCAAAAGATGGCATCGTCAGGGCAGTAACTGGCGCCTTACATCACTCATGCCAGAAACCAAAGTAGCAAAATCATACACTGTAACTTCGTTACTTAATCATCAACCCATCGTCCTGAGTTCGCACCCACATCTCGCACAAAGGACCAACTTCAAGCACCCGACCCTGCAGTACCGCCCTCCAACGCTACACCCACCCATCGTTGGCGCCAAATACATGCGATGGGCGTCTGCGTCTGGGAATTCAACAACGTTGTCACCAGCATCATCAGGTCCAATTCGGAACGGCTGGTATGGGCGTGTCACAGACAGCTTTGGCGCATTCAGGAACAGGGGCGTCTCTGCCGGGGGATGATGGTTCAAGCGCTCTGCCATGTTGTTGAGCGCGATGTTGTAATACTTTGGAACAGCCACGACTGGTCGGCTAGTCGACGTGAAAGGTTTGAGCTACTCGCTCAGAACTCAGAGCGCGTGCTGCCTTGCCACCTGCTGGGTCTTGAAACTGATAGATAGTTACACATCTTATGTGGTCTGAGAGAGAGGCCACACGGAATGGCTCATGACCGAGAGGATAGGCAGGCCTCTGGCTGCCTTTCTGTGATGAGGCCATTAAAGTGCCAAGAGGTAGTTAGTTGATAGGTCATGTAGACAAGACAAAGTTGTGGGAACCCTGAAATCAACAAGGTACCTCGAGAAGAAGCGGCTGGAGCAAAATCGAAGCCGATTTCAAGAGGCGAGCTTCGAATGAATTCGATCATGAAGATTGGTATTTCCGAGGAGGATCAGGCGAGGGGCGAACCGCACACCCTTAACCATCCATAGAGTGATGGGGTAATAATGATTGAAGATTCCGACTATGACCCTTGATACTGTGTAGCGACACTGGCTGTCATAGTGAATGGCGAAGCGAAGCTGATGATAAGTGCCAACTTGTTGTGGTTCTGTAAGTCGGACTGGTGGCGTGGACAAAGTGAGAAAAGAAAGGGGGGGGGGGGACTTGGCCGGGGAAGGAACAAGGAACTCTCTCTCTTTCTCCCTCTTGCCCAGCCGATGCCTTCAAGCCCCTCGAGGAAGGAGGGTCGGCACGTGATCTCCCACACCGACCGCACCCGACACACGGCCCCACTATACTCGGGCTTCACGGCCGGCCGCCTTGCCGACATCTCGGTGTGCTTTAACTGACGAGCGGCGCAGAAGATTTACTTCCAGGAAGAATATTAATTCTGCCGCAACATAGTATATATGGAGGGATTTGTGGCGAGTGTGCATTCTTGAGTAGTCTTGGAAAAACAGGGACACGGAAAAAGCCTGACTTCACATAGTTACTTTGGTGTATAGTCCCAATGAGCCTCGTATCAGGTATGTCAAGATGAATATAAATGAGCAACTCATACTCAGTGACTTTTCAATTTCGTCCTTTGCGTTCTCTTTGTTTCATCTTCTTTACTGAAGGCGCCTTGTGCGGCTATGAATCTAAGTTCATCTCATAGCAAATATGTTGTATTCAGAACCAAACCCCAGTACCAAACAAACCCTCACGTTCCCCTGACTCACTGGTGGGGTCCGACACTTCCGAATTGGGACTAGTACATATGCCGCCTGTTCCACATTCCCCTCTTTGCCCAAACTCGCCCCCCAGACACCGAAAAATGCTCTTCCACCCACGCAAGCATACATATCATCAAAATGAAGCGCTAATTACAACAAATAAGCCTTGGTGGAGTGACCGAGTGGTTAAGGTGCAGCATTTAGGTACGTACCTTTCAAGGTATTGATAGACCTGCTGTGGGAAACCGCGCGAGTTCGAATCTCGTCTCCATCAGAATCAATTTTTTTTATTTTTGTTTGCAGGCTTCCGATCTTTGGCCTTCCGGCCACCCAGATTGTGCCAGTTTAGATATGCCGTTAGTGCGGCGGCCTTGAAATGGGTCGGCAGGAAATCCAGAATGATGGCAAACAAGACAATGGCTTTGTGGAGAGTGGTTTCGGGTTCTGGCACTTGAACCGTGACCGCGGGCGGTCAAGACTTGAGGGATTTACAGCGGAAGACAGTACGCGATGAAGATCTATTCCTGAGAAAACGTTTGGTCAAGGGTAAACATGTATGTTGACTGGACGGGGGGGCCAGAGCCTTGTGAGAGAGAGTCTTCAAGGCTGGGAGCAGGGAGGACTCCGTATTGTTAGAAATGACAACGTAGGGATGTGCAGAGATCCATCCCATGGAATATGGCAGAGATGCCATTTCCGCACATGCAAACGCATCCCAGACTAATTGATTCTATGTTTGCTATGCGTCAACGGATGCGTCGGTCAAGTGCGCTTCGACCAACCCATTCCTCGTCCTTGACTTTGTCGATAATCTGCTTCAGGCCCCAAAGTCGGTGCCAATGCCACTCCTTAGACCACTCGAGTACTCTACATTAATGATTCATGAGCTTGTTCAAACTAGGAAAAGAGTTTGCGGTATATATGGTGTGTGACATGCATGCAGTGGTGCGGGCTGCTTCCGGGAGATCCGAGGCTCGAGCTCCGAGACCGGCGGGGCCGAAGTCATGGAGGTACGTACCTATCATGGCCCGCCCCTATCATTACTCATTAGGTAACTACCTACCCCACCCAACCAGCATTCTCAACCTCGCCGATACTTCTGGCATCGAGACTGACTGCAAACTGCGATACCCTCTCACGGTCAAGCTCGAGTACAGTGTGCTGAAGGTCCTAGAGACTGCCGTTGCCAAACCCTTCCAGTGCAAAAACATCGTAGATACACACAAGCATCTTCAACGTGACTGGTAACTCATTTGCCGCATCGATAAATTGGTTCCTTCCTTCTTCCCTTGATGGCTCTTGCATTGTGTCTCCTTCACAGGCTCGTTCGTCTGAGTGAATACGGCAAACCATGCCTGTATTCGCAGCATCGATATGGATGCAGCAGTTCAGCTTATTTTGTACAAGCTTTTGTTGTTTCGAAGAGAATCTTGCAAAACATATCAGTTGTATGCAATAAGTGTATATAATGTGCAAGCCTTGGCTTGGTTATTCGAGGCTCATAACCGAAAAGCATGAGAGAAGGAACAAGCCTGATTAACCTGTTCTTAGAAAAGAGGGGACTTCTATTTACTGGCAGCTAGAACAAAGCAAGTGTCCCTGGTAGGCCGTGACACACAGCTATGGCCTTTTGGAAGGTTGCAGAACAGTCCTGCAGGCACACAATATTGCCTGCATACGGCAGGAGCGGTTAAATGTGCGTTGTATGAATATCATTAGAAGTGAGATGGCCAGAATAAGAAACTGACGAAGAGGTAACGCGAGGAACGTTGCTGCCTCTGATCTCAACGTTGCCAGCGCCATACAGCGTTGCATTCAGAACAGCCTGCGCAAACAGTACCGGGCGAGCATAACACCAGCGGCCAGTTCAGTTACTTACCCATTGTTCTAGCATGGATGGAGCCTTCTCACTGAGATATCTGTCTTGCCCTCTTCTTTCTTACTTCCAAGCAGCTTTTCATACTCGGAGGTGGCGGTAGTCTACCTACCCGAAAAGTATAAGAGCCAAGAAGGTGAGTTGTTGGTTCGGATGAAGGCTGGAATGAAGGCTGTGGCGAGGCCTGGGATGAAGAATTGGAAGAGATTTAGAATGGAAGGAGTCTCTAGACGAGTCTAATATGTAATCTGACACCCGTCGATGAGCACGAGCAGAGATGACCTCTGGAGTTGGACACAATGCTGCACCGCGGGACAACACGACGTGATACGCAGACACAAACACTCAGGCGGCAAAACCACTGTATGAAACAGACATCTCAACTCGTGAGAGTGTAGTCTTCCACACAGCAGAGGAATTGCGTGGCCCAGACGGATACAGAGGTAAGGAACGGAGAGGCAGGGAGCGTGAGCCGGGGGACCCCTAAGACGGAGCATCCGGGTTCCTTCCATGGTACGATGGATTCGTTTGCACGCATGTCAACCTTGGGAGCTTGTTCGTTGCAGCGCTTGAAGATAAATTGCCGGCGCACCGGGCAGGAGCCCGGAGCATCTCAGGTCATGGGTCCGTCCGTCCGTCCCGACGCCGTGCGGGGTACCACCCACCGGCCGATGCTTTGTTGTGGACCCGCGAGTTCCTTCCTTCAATTGAGCTCTCCCCCAGCGCTTCGCAAGATCAACCCCCCCGAAGAGCTATCGGGCTCATGAGGTTGTTTTCTTACGGACAGCCCCGATCAAACCGTCGGGATCCTTCGGGCTTGCCAGCACCCAGTTAATCGTCGATCCTCGACCGCGATGCCTCGTAGCTTCAACCAGGCAGGTGAGAGACAAGCTTTTGAGAAACTGGGAAAGAAACAGATCTCGTGCGATTGAATTCGCTGACACCGCGACAGCATGGTCAGAACCTCCCCCCTTCGGAGACGCGCTGGCGCACTTGCCGACGATCCCGCTGACGAGCAAACCTGGCCTCGTGCAGCAACACATGTCGCGTCCGCAAGGTCAAATGCAAGCCAGCCCTAGCCGTCACAGCAACGGTCATCAGCTCATCGATAAACAGGCGACGAAGCGGTGCCCGTGTGTCAACGATGCTCCAAAGCTCAGAGGTACTGCGACCGGACCGTTCCGGCTCCGCAGTTCCGCAGCAAGAGCCAAGAAGATGCGGCAAAGCCGGATAGCACGGGTGAGCGAGCGTCTCGAGAGTCCTTTTTGTGTTGGGGGTTGGGGCTCTGGTTTCCCATGTCTGGCTGACAACCCCGTTTCACACCAAGCCGCCGCGTCCTCGTCCCCTTTCCCGGCTCCGACGAGCCCTCGCAAGGCCCTGCAGAATCCCTCGATAGCGCGCTACTTCCGTCACTACATTGTGCACATCGCGCCCTGGTACGACCTCAGCGACGCGTCCTCCACCTTCTCGACGGGGCTCCCGGAGGCCTCCCTGGGGCGGGCCCTGCCGCTGTCCGCCATTCTCGCCCTGTCCGCCGTGCACATGAGCCGGACGTCCGCGCCGTCCGCGAGGGCGGCGGCGGAGTTCTACCACGGGCACTGCGTCCGCCTCCTGATCGACCTGACGGCGGAGGAGGACTACGGCGGCGAGGACGCCCAGGGGCTCGCGCTGGCGTCCGTCTGCCTCTTGCGGTCGTACGAGATCCTTAGCGGTGAGTCGTCGGTCCGATCCTTCATGGGCGCGGCTCCAGTGTTCTTACCAGAAAGCCCGACGCGACAGAGGAAGTCGACCCGAACAGGCACCTCTGGGGCGCATACTCCCTGGCGGTCCACCGCAACACCCTCAGCGACTGTTTGGGTTCCGGCATCGGGGCCGCAGGGTTCTGGAACTACCTCCGCGAGGACATCACCTTCAGCTTGTTCCGGCAGTGCCCTCTCAAGATCGACCTGGAACAGATGCCTCTTCCGACGCGGCACGACACGGACCAGGACCACCTCAATACCGTGTCTCTCATACTGGGGCGCATCATCAACGCGTGCTTCTCGGGTGCAGTCACCGAGGGGGCGTGGTCGTCCCTGTTCAGGATGCTGCAGGACTGGCGATCAGGCCTGCCGCCTCGCTTCGCCCCATTCGCGAGGACAGAACGCGGCTTGGGCCTTGCTCTTCCGTCCATATGGATGCTCAGAGATTGCCATGGTAAGACCCCTCCCTCCTATGTTTCTATCCCACACGGAATCTGAAGCTGTGCAAGCCGCGGCACTGCACTACAGGCTCGTTTCCATGTCCCTCCTCTGCACTCACGCCACGCCGGAGCGGCTATCTGACCTGCGCGCTTTGCTCGACGACGAGGACGGCGCCAGAGCCGACATCACAGAGCACGACTTTGCGGAAAGCCTGGCCCTGGACGTTTGCGGCGTGGCATTCACCACCGACGCCCCGGCCGTACAGGTCAACTCCTTTGGCCCGATTGCCTTCTGTAAGCGGCCCCTCCCTTCCCTCCTCTTGTTTTCTCTACGCTGCGGCACTCTTGCGTCCATCCTAACGAGACATGGGGAAAACCTCACAGGTGCAAGGTTCTTCAGCGCGGAGCCAGCGAGACATGAGCTCATCCGCCGCCTCTTGGCGTGCAGGCGGACCATCGGATGGCCGGTGCAGAGACTCATCGCCGACCTGGAGGCGGAGTGGGGGGTGTCAACCGTGCGTGCCACTCGAGGCGACGACGAGTGAGACGACCGGGGTCTCGAACCAGATCAAGGCCCAACATGCAAGGTGGGAGGGATGACAGGCGGCTTGGGTGGGTAACATACCCCGAGCTCGGGTTTGGGGAACCTTGGGTTTGCGGGGAGAGGCGGGGGGGAGGGGGAGGGGTGCAAGTGGCTCCAAACCCGAGCTCGGGCTTGGGGGTTAGACGTCCTCACGCCTCCTCCTCACTTCAACATCTGATATATAATTGAAAGACCGCCCGTCCTCGTCCTAGTTCTCGCCAGTTCTCCAACCATGAAGCCTTCTCAAGAGACACCGACTCACCAGGAAACGAAATCATGAAGCTCGCCTCGTCTACAACAGCCCTCCTTCTCCTCCGCCGCCGCCGCCGGCTGCCTTCCCTCTCGGACCCCTCATCCCCGACCACCCCCTTCTTCGCCCGGCGCGCGATGACGGCCTCACTCACACGGAACCGCAGCGTGACCACCAACACCACCGGAACCACGCCGGCCGTGGTACGGCCCTCCGAAGCCGAGGTCCGGGACCAGGAGCTCTCCCCGCGCAACCTCGAGCTCGCCGTCCGCCACCTCCACGCCGACGGCCTCGTCGTCGTCGAGGACGTCGTCCCGCACGCCGACCTCGACGCCCTGAACCGCAAGATGGTCGAGGATGCGCTGCACCTCCGGTCCCTCGGG